CCCACCCCCCTCCCCGACACGCACACAGCCACACGAGTGCAGGCCGCCCATCCGACCCCGACACACGCTAACGAGCCATCTTTAATTGCTTCTGATGACCTCTTGACAAATAAACATTTATTAGAAGCGCTTTAACTTTTCAGGCCGACCTCAAATTCATCATATAATATTAAAACGTGGCTCCTGCACAAAACGCCTTTTTGCCCGAAGTGATCCCGGTCTCTACCCAGTCTGAGGCGAGTCACGAGTGAGGCAGGACAGGAAGCCGGTTTCGCGAGTCACAGGAAGTCGGAAGTGATGTCATGCTGGACAAGAATCAGAGTCCGAATACATTTGTTCATATTCGGACTCGAGTCCGAATAGTCACTTCGTTTGATCAATTTGATCTTCCACATGAATAGACAGTATTCAGAAAGAGACAGAGAGAGAGAGAGGGGGGGGAGGAGTAGATCCTGCGAGAACTTCCGGGCAAAACAAAATGGCGACCCGTGTAGTTCAGCTCGATTCGAAATGTTAAATAGTCATAATAGCATCTTTGTAGACAATCAAATTAGCTTACTTTTGTGCCATAACGTCATTTTTTTCTTAGCTTTGTCAATTTGATCATCCGCACTGATAGACAGAGTCCGAAATTAGGAAAAACACTAATGGTAGTTCTGCCTGAATTGTGGATGATCCGGTCACAATTGACGCAGTGTCAGTTCTGACCGGATGATCTGGTCACAATTGACGCTACCTTTTAGTAATGTGATGTCATCCCATCCTGGGATGCCTACTGACTATTTTTAGAAGACTGTGGAGACAAAATACTGTACTATGATCTTTGGTGGAGATAGCGCATGGAACGGCATGTTGGGTCAGTAGTTGGACGTATTATCCGTATGGATGTGTTTCGCGCGTTAAAATTTCACACTTGTGGCTAACTGCAGCCCTTCAGCCATGCTCTGATTGGTTACAAGTTTTCCAGTATTGTTAATAGGAAGTGCCTATTTGCAACGCCGCGTTGCGATTAGCGGCAGTGCTAAAAATAAAATGCTGCTTTGTGATTAGCGCCACAGAGCTAGATCTAGAATCTAATCTATATGAAGCTTAATCTACCTTTCGTTAACGGAAGTTCTGATGTTGTATATTTATTTGAATTTGTGGCCCCAAAGACCTGTGAACTGCGCGCTGTCGATCAAAATAAGGTCATATAAGCGAGCAGGACACACCAAATATTTTCAGTTGGTCGGAAATTTTGAATTTTGACCAGGTGGCGGCCGAAGCCTACTGTTATTGATTTTAGACCACCGAAGGATCTTTTATGCACAACTTGCTCACTGGACCTCTGAGATTTTTCGCTCTTGTCTGAAAAAGCTAGGTGTAGATCTTTCCTACCAGATCAGGGGTGTGGCTGAAAGACAGCATGAGCAGTAAGAAGCCAAGGAGTAGCAGTAGAAAGGCTGCGGAAAGAGCCAGGAGCCCAGAGGAGAGGGCAAAGGAGGTGGGATAAAAAAGTGGAGACGAAAGCAGACGACAGAACATTGCTTTGCTAGACAGAAGGGCAGGAGGTGAAAGGAGACAATTTTAGAGAAGTCTGGGGTGACGTTGAATCTGGTGGTGAATCCAAGGTTCTCTGTATAGAGAGTGAGAGTATCCAAGATGTGGTCCCGAGAGAACTGAGTAGCTCCTGTTTTCTTTTACTAACCTTGTAAAGCAGGTTCAATTGGACAGTGACCATAAATAGTCTATTTGTGTCACAGAGATGCCAACCAGTACGATTTTACGTATTTTAGTACGATTTTTTGCCGAAAATACGCGAATAAGACTTTTCATGAAAAAATACGCATCCTGGAATGCGAAAAATACGAGATTCAGCTTGGGCGAGTAGACCTAATTATCTCAAGTCCCATCTTTTGTCAAAATAGTATCAGTATCGCAGAACTGGAGTATTTGAAAACCAAGTCCTATGTGGTCAGTAAGTTAATTTGTTAATTTTTGCCGGTTGCGATCGTTTCGTTCAGCTTTTCCCCGTCCGGAGAGTACGTTTCACTTTCACGCGAATAGACAGCTATGGCGCAGGCGGAAGTGTATGTGACATCGAGGCTCGATCGGGAAAATCAAGATCTACTTTCACTTTCGTTACCGCCGAGAAGTTTGCCAGCAGTTGTCTGATAACGCAACATTTGTGGCATGCAGGTTGTGCAGTGTAAACGCAATGTCGCCGTGCAAATGAAATGTAAGAAATACTCGGACTCGTCGCTGTGCTGTCACTTGTGGTAATAAGAAAAGAAAATACAAGCGTCGTCCGATTTTTAGATTGTCTGGCTCGCCATCGTGACCGGTCACTGAACCTGCGCGCGTTCGCATCATAAATAACGGCATCGGGTGGGCAAAGACCGTCTTTGGTGGGAGTAACGGCGTTGCGAAGTATATGACTACGGCATAGAGGAGGAGATTATTGATTTTTTTGGGGGTTTAAGATACTATCTGGGGGGTTTAAGGCAACATCAGAGGACAACAGAATTTTGATTGGTTTTGTGCAAAGCGCGCGTTGGTGCAGGCCAGGGTTGGGTTGATTTAAATCAGTTGATTTTTAAAATTTAAATCAACTTGATTTTTAAAATAAAAATCAGTGATTTAAATCACTTTTTTTAAAAATTATTTTTATTCGGTTTTTACACATTTCAACATTCAGAAGTCCTTTCCTTGGTTTCATAAAACAGATATAAGGTTCAGTAGACTAATATAATAATGCTTAAAAGTCTGATTTCCCCCCTTTCACTGTAAAATAATACAGTATTCAATTTACTTTTTTTTTCCATAATTGAAATCAGAGCTGGGTTGATTTAAATCAATTGATAAAAAAAATTTTAAAATCAATTTGATTTTAAAAATAAGAATCAGTGATTTAAATCACTTTTCAAAAAAATGTATTCAGTTTTTACATATTTAAACTTTCAGAATTCCTTTCCTTGGTTTTATTTAAACGGATATAAGGTTTAGTAGACTAATATTTATCATGCTTTAAAGTCTGCTTTCCCCCCTGTCACTGTAAAATAATACAGTTCTCAATTTACTTTTTTTTCATAATTGAAAACCAGGGTTGGGTTGATTTAAATCGGGTCGATTTAAATCAGTTGATTTTTAAAAATAAAACTCAGTGATTTAAATCACTTTAAAAAAATGTTTTCTGTTTTTACATCTTTAAACATTCAGAATTCCTTTCCTTGGTTTTATAAAACAGTTATAAGGTTTAGTAGACTAAAATTGCTTAAAAGTCTGCTTTCCCCCCCTGTTACTGTAAGTAGTAAAATAATACAGTATTCAATTTACTTTTTTTTCATAATTGAAATTAGCTTTTTCTTTTTAGACAAACACAAGCGCGTGCTCACACACACACTGTAATAAAAATAAAATGCAAGTTTATCTATGCATAATTACCCCCCCCCCCCTCCCCTTCCTTTTAGACTGACATTTTCTTCATTTTTTTGTCTGTAGCCATAATTCACTGATATAGCAGATTAAGGCTTTCTAAAATTGCAGTTGCTTAAATTAATCATTAGTTAAAATAAAGACAATGCATTGTGCACTAAAAGAACATACTTTTAGCCACCAAAAATCCCAAACTGTGTCGACATTTTTAAAAAAATCAAAAAAAAAAAAATCCGATTTAAATTTAAAAAATCTGATTTAAATTTAAAAAATCGATTTTTTTTATTTTTTTTTCAAAAAAATCACCAACCCTGGTGCAGGCCGTGTGCGGAATGGGGACCCCTCATACTTTGCAAGTCTGTGTTATTGAAATAAAGTGTTCGCGTTTCATTGGATGGGTGATAGTAAATTATACCTACTTGGATGGGTGATAGTAAATTATACCTACAGTGTATGTTGTAGCTTTCTGTTCAAGACTGGCAGATTTTCAGTGTCACTGCATCTTGCCCTACCACAGTTGTTACAACTCTCACGGTGCATGGGTCTACTTGAGCCATTCAAGTTATTGCTTTTCTCTGAGTTTGAGCAATAATTTGAGCCTGTCAGTTCATAATATGAATCATGACACACAGACTGGTTCTTGATAGTCGAAATTCTTGTTCTAGGCCCTTCCGAACTCTGAAAGCAGGATTTATTTTTTTATATAATAATGAGAGGAAAATATTATATAATAGACTGAAATTTTAAAGTCAAACAAGACCCCAGTACGACATTGAACACTGACATGTTGTTAACTGGATACATGTATATTGTACGCGTGTGTGCTCCTTTTTTCGAGCTGGTGAGCTAGTAATTTTTTTTCAGGAAATATTGCTGGACACCCTGAACATTTTACTATTACTGGTTGGTCGGTCGTGGGGAATGCACATTTTCCCCTGAAAATACACATTTTCATATTTCGCAATACTCATTTCGGTTTTCTGTGGTTGGCATCTCTGGTGTCACAGCATGGTGGAATCAGGCGCTCGTCAATTTTTGGGCATGTAGAGTTTGGTATCATCTTAAAGCTTGTTCACTTGTCTTTATTTGGATAAAAAAATATCCATTTATCTTGAATATTAGTCGAGATATTTGCGAATGAAGGAGGTAGGATTACCTGTTTTCAGAGGTAAAATTAGGGAGAAAATGGCGGCCAAAGATTAGTTATTTTCTTAGCTTTAAAAGATTCCGTGGTAACAGAAAATTTACATTTTTTGTGCCTTTAATCAAGGTTTTTCAGAAAAATCCATACAGAAATTAGTTCTTTAATGGGCATGAAAGGTGTAGAGCCAAAAAACATAAATTTGATAAAAATTCACAAACCTGCGGAAAAATGCAAGTTTCTTCACTTTCATTATTTTGACGAGAGCCTGATTCCACCACGCTGCCTCACATTTAATAAACAGTCACCTTGTCATAGGCCTGAACAAGTGACCAGTCCAAATTAACCAAACTCTTGGATTCGCTTTCTTTTCTTTCACTTCACAAGAATTTCAATGAAGCCTATCCTATGTTTTGACATTGTTGGTGTATGATTTTGCTTTCAGTGATCTTGATTGTGAAGAGCAGGAGCCAGAATAAACGACAGGGTGTATTGCTTCTGGGCATTTGTGACGCAGGCAAAACACTCATCTTCTCTAGGGTAAGATGTCAAATAATTCAAATTGATTACTATGAAAAGAAATGTTGTACCTGGCTTTTATCTGTTATACCTTAGAAAGCAAAATAAAGAATTGCATTTACCTTTTAATTTGCTTTCTGTTAATGTGATATCTGTAAAGTACAGTCGAACTTGACGTAAAACCTTTCCAAAATGGAAACCTGTCATGACTGCATCTCCTGGCTTCCCCCTTAACCTTCCCAGTACATCGATATTTACTAGCAACTTGTATGTCGTGACCCAAAAATAGACCAGACCTTTTAGTAAAATATGTTGTGACCGATTTTTGGATCGCATTTGTCTCAGAGGGAAACAATTCCTGTTGATCCGTGAGTTTTTAAATGTGACTTGCAACACCATAAGTACTTGACTGAGGACAACTGTTGCTAATAAATGTTTTTTCGACATATTTTGGACTGATACAGTCGAATACGAATGAGTTGATGTGATCAGGAGAATGAAAAAAGATCAACTGATACGAAGATCACCTTAACCTTTTTTGCCTCGCTCCGCACCTTGTTGGTGTGCTGTTTTTCACACCACTTCGATGCCTAGTGCTCCTCTTTGGCGCTAGTCTTCAACCTTTCCACTCACCACTCGCGCCACCCTGAATTGAGGTAGTTGTGCATGCAACAAAGGGCTTGCTTTTTCGTTTTTCACTCTCAAACTTTCAAAATGTATTCAGATACCATTTTTGAATTGTTTCTTGCTGTCAAAAGTTGAGTTGCTTGAACACTTATCGATTTACAAGAGAATTTCTAATGTCACCCTCGAGAGCGTTCCTGAGACGTTTTACTTACGATAAAAACGCTGCGCCTAGACCAACGCTGAGAAGACTCACTCTCAAATGAGTCACAGATTCTACATTAACGGAAAGATCGGATGACGAAGATGATGTTGAAACAAAAGATTATAATGATTGGGATGAGGTTACTATGCCGGTTGACTATAAAGCATAACCGTTAGAATTTGCTAAAGAAATGACCCATAGTGAGCACAGTATATGTGAGAGTGATGATGAGAGGACGGACGATAGGTATGACCAATGATTATAAATACCAGGATAAAGCAATGGGGCGAAAAGCTTGCGAGCTCACGAAACTCCCGGGGGGAATGTCTGCGCGTCGACCGAAGGTCAACCGCTGACCTGCTTCCTTATCAGCGCGCACCTGGTGCTGGTAGTGCAGCTCGTTGTTCCATTGTTAGAGGCCATTAAAAGCTTTAAATATGTTGGTTTGAAGGTGAAGGCTTGCGTGTGACCAAGGCCCATATAACCAGACGGTTTTAGAACACTAATCAAAGTTTCCCCCTCGAAAAGCCTTTTTTTTTTCATCACGAGGGTGGTAAAATCACAGTCCTCTTTGATCCTCCACACTTCATTAAGAATTAGAAACAATTTGTTTATCTACCACAATTTCTGTGAGCCTACTCATCATGATGATACTGCGAGCTGGACAGTTATTGTAAATTTCTATGAAAAAGACAGTACATTACCTTAGGTTTATTCAGGGTGGCACCCAAGTTACCAACTGTGTGTCAAGTTTTGGACGACGCAGGGTTTGTTTGGCTGTGCACGTGCTTAGTGGCAGTGTATCAAAAGCAATTAAATTGGGACACTCTATGTATCTCTGAATTAATCCTTTGTCTGACATTGCTATATCTGATTTCTGTAATGACTTTTATGATCTTTTCGTTTTCATTTGGTCATTTGTGTCATTCTCTGTCGAATATCGTAACTCAGTCACAACTACATCACAGCACCATGAATTTTTGCAGCATACCGGACACTTCTGTGGTTGAAAGATAATTCATGAAGTTTGGCCCAGAAGAAAAAAAAAGAAAGTTACAAAAGTATTACTATGAGTCTGTGAGTGGATCCACAACGTCACTGCTTTGCAAGGTCTTGTGGCAGACATTGTGAGTTGCAATGGGGGATTACTTACAGTGACATCAAGATGAACTTGAACATCTGTTCTCAGTCACCAGAGGAAAAAGGTGGACATATCTTGACAATCCAGACCCCCCACAACAGTTACATTTTCGTTTGAAGAGACAGATAATGGCTGACAAAATTATGATCGCATCACCTACAAGCAGTTGCAGGGATGTAGTGGATAGCTTTTTGATAAATCAAAATTTAACGAGTGAGAATTTCAGTCAAACAATAGTTGCAATTCTGGTAGACGTTGATAAAAAAACCCCACAGATACATTGTTAATTTTGTGAAATTTTGCAATACATTAAAGATGCAATGAACTTAAAAATGAAATGTCTGACGTAAATGGATACACTTTGAAGAAACTTTACGATGTAGTCTGCAAGGACTGTACAGGGATATTGGAAGATTTCTCATCTTCCAATGCAAGGCACCTGACCCTCATCAGCCAGAAACAATTTGAACATTGTCGTCACTGTGGCTTGAAAAAGCCAGTTTCAAACTTGTGCAGTTAATTTGTTGGGTTTTTTTTAAGCTGCTTTTTTAAAAACACATTTTAAACCTTTGATGAACAGAGCGCACAGTAGACAGAATCTAAAGCTGAAAATGCTCCAGGAGCCAAACGTAATTGAAAGCAAAGGTGGTTCCTGCAAATGCAACACAGTGGACTATGAGTCATTGTATTTATTAACGTCAGACTGCACGATGATCTTTACAGTGTGGTCAAAAATTCGTGGCGCAACTTGTCCTCAAACATCTCATTAACGGGTGAATCAATTTAACCTAAACTTTGCACAGCAGTTTGTATCAATTTATCTTAACATATTCTTATTTTTCCACAACAATTGAGGCTAGATTAAAAAATGTATCTTCATGAATTTGTATAAAATACTAAAATGGGGCCAACTAGTCACCCCACAGCTCGTGTTATAGTACCACTGCGTGTGTTGTGGGAGCTCATTAATGCGCAGAGCAACGCGCGCAGTCGCTGACCTCGATTCTCCGACGATGCTCTAAGGCCGAAGAAGGATTGCACCGTCTCGGTATTTACGGTCTCTGGGACTGACAGGAGTGTTGAAACTACGATATGGAGACCGATTTAGTTGTAAAGTTGAAAAGAAGAGTGTATAGCAAGACAAAATACAATTAACAAGAATAAGTATAGGGATTAGAAGATAAAATGCTGTGGGCTCAAAAGACAAACAACTTTCCCCGCGTTTCTCAGCTGACCGATACTATGTGGAATTAAAAGTTTCGCAACCAAAACAACCCTTTGTATTAGATATTTACTGAGTGGTCATTACAGAAAAGTTGATGAACTTTTATAAAACAAAAACAAAACGATTAGATGGGGAAGGGATCAATGGCAAAGACCTGCAAACCTTATCAAGTCATTTATGTTGCAAAACCAGGAAACGAGATAACCTTATAGAAATGGACTGATTCTTTGTTATATATTTTCGTTCACATGGGTATACTCAAGTTACTGACTCTCTACGAGCACTGACCTTGAAGCCCAGGTTTGCACTCATCTTCCTGCTGAATAATGATGACAATTCTTGCTTCTCATTTCATTTTTCAAACAACACAGCACCAGTGCACTATGGAGAGCTTTATCATGACATACCCTGTGGAAACCATAGCAAGACTCTGTAATGATGAAACCATGGTGCATTTCCTAGGCCATTCCCGATTCAGGGTTTGTCCCCCACCAATGAAGGATTCAAACTTAATGAAGTTTTTGAGAGAAAATCAGGGCACATCTGTTCTCTAGTGATGTACTGTGTCAAAAGACGAATCAGCAATAGTCCGTAAGTGTAACTGTAAGGTTGATGATACCACTCTTGAAATAGGGTTACCGGCCCCATATTGATCTCTCAAGTTGGTGTATATAATTTTAAAGAAAATGTTCATCTTTCGTTATGGATGAAAAAGCCTTCAGAGATTCTAATTTTTCTTATCCTGAAAATTTTTACTTTGCAGACGTGCCGTATTCCATGAGGCAATTCGTTGTTTCTCTTTGTTTAAAAAAAAAAAAAGAAAACCGATTTGGGATGTTTTAGGTTTGAAATCTCTGAAAGGGAAGCGGAAACTTAGCTGTTCAATATGTGAAGGTGTTTTGACTCTGGACCCACTCAACATACAACTCATTGCTACAAACAGCACAGTGTTTGAGTGTTATAATAAATAGCATTATAAACATAAAATGGTATTTTTTGTGTATGAAATGGAAACTTGAATCTGCTTGTGCCATTTTGAGTGAGAGAAATGAAAAGCTGAAGGGGCCAACGGGCTTGACGGTAATTGGTTCTATATGACGTACAGACAAAATAGCACGCTTTCTCAATGGCATCGAAAACTTAATGGAAATCGTTTTCCTCCAAGACTATTTTTAATTGAGAGATTTAGACAGGTTTGTTTTCTTGGTAAATTGCCTGATTTAATAAGTTTTGAAAGAGGTCGGCGGAGTAGATGACTCTTTTTCTCCAAAACTTGACTTGGCAGATATTGCAATTAAACTACATTATTACTCGTTTCCTTCCGTATTGGAAAACTTCCTGTACCCTGAGTAGTCTTTGGAGTGCCACCTTGATTATCTTACTTTGAACCAGACTATAGTACTGAAGGCTTTCCTGTCTTCTAAGTGACGCTGTTTGTTCATCATGTTCTTTTTGTTCTCCGGTTTCTTCTCTCCTACACTGCTCTTTGTAAAATGGTATTTTCAAGACCAGACATGTTTTGTAACATTACCATTCCTGATTCCTTTTCTTTGCTAGGGTTTGAAGATTTTCTTGGGGCTTTTGTTTGGCTGAATGGTAAGGAGAAGCTGTACCAAAGAAAACACAGATGTAAGGAACATGCAGGAAAGACAAGATTGACAAGCCCATAAAATTGTTTGAAGGAACGCAGAAAAACAATAAACAATAATTTTCAATTTTGGCTCTAGAAGAAAGCATTTGCAAATTGTGTTCAGGTGGATCAACATTCAAGAATCTTACTCAAGTCTCTTTACGTGCGATTGCAATGAGTCTGACCATAACACCACTGAGAGAGAGAGAGTCAGAGAGAACAGACACCGAATTCGATTCCCGAATGGGGAGAAAATCTCAACCGAGTACCTCAGTCTTTCTGCTGGGATGTTGGATTCCTCTCACCCCGCGCTGTGTTTGACGGGCATGATCGGAAGCCTGCCTCCTTAATGATGTAAGTTTTGAGTAATGTCGGTGGGGGTGGAAAACTTCTACAGTTACATTTTAAGAGAGAGAGACAGACAGAGAGAGAGACTCTTTCGACTTTTCAAATGTCGAAACTTGAAGGAACATAAGGCCGGTTTCAAAGAGATGAGAAACACCTTTTCGTTATTCACTTTATCAAAGCCTGTCCAGCATAGATAATTCAGGTTAACAAATTTCCTACTTTTCCAACTTCCTTTTTATTTTTCTCAATTTTTTATAGATCTGAGTGTTTTACGGCGCTCACAGCTGCACAAGTTCATATGGGCACGCAGGACACATTTTCAGTTTGATATGAATGACATGTAATTTTTAAAATCTTGTAGTGGCCGAAGCCTGCTCTTATCGGTTTTAGGATCACCACAGCACAGGACCTCTGAGATTTTTTCGTCCTTATCCAAGAGTGCTAGTTGTTCGATCTTACCTACCCTGAGATCAGGGGTGTGGCTGAAAGACAGTTGTAAGGAGCCATGGAGAAGCAGTAGAAAGAGTCAGAAGTCCAGAGGAGGAGACAAAGGGATAGGGTGGGGGATAGGGCAGAAAATGGAGACGAAAGCAGACGACAGAACATTATCAGAGAGCAAGAAAGGAGGTGAAAGGAGAGATTTTTTCTCCTTGATGACTGGGGACACTGTCTATGAGTTCAGACTGCATTTTTTTTTTACTGGCTCCCTTACTTCTATCTTTGACAGTTTTGACTTTATTCTATCAAATTTTAGTGGTTGATGTAAACCTTCTCATTGGTGGGTTGTCATTGGACTGAGCTGGCCCCAAGATGTGAAGTTTTCCTACGCTGTGCGATCTCAGACAATCCCCCATCAAAATCATCGCACAGCCCTTTCATACTGACTGCCCTCCACCATGGCTGGTCACTAGCTTTCCTCATTGCACAATTCTGTCTGATGCTTTGTCCCCAAAAGTCTTTTCTACCTGGCGAAGCCACAATTTCAAAGAAAGGAGCACCTGTGGTGTTTACTTCATTTTCATCAATTGCAAGTGAAATGAGTTGCCTTGTTTTATGGAAGATGTTTTTGACACAAGTGCAGGAACATTGTGCTTTTTAGACCGGGTTGTACTGGGTAATAATCATCGTAAAAATTTGGTTCGTGCATTCGTTAGGGCGGATTGTTCTTTAATCCGGCCTACTGTTAGCTAGAGACTATCGTATTAACTTTGTACAAATCTATTGAAAAATGTTGGTTAATTGTTGGGAAAAGGTAAAGTTTTTGTGTAAATTATTGATGCTAATGAAAATCATATAATATTAAATATATGGGACTTGCAGATAAAAACTGCACTGTTGTATTCATTACATTTACATACCTTACTTACTCCTTGTACACTACTTGTCCCATTAGACAGAGGCACAAGCCTTTAACCAGAAAATTGTTGTTTTCTTGCTCCTCTGTAAGTTTACTTTAGTTTCATTGAATCGATCATAGTTTTTATTAAATGATGAATCGGCTTGTTTCTAATTTTTCAGCTGGTGCACAAAGGATTCAAAGAAACGTACACCTCTATCAAAGCCAACTCTGGGGAATATGCTGTACCAGAGAAAAATGTGAGAGTTTTTAACTTTTTTTTTTCGCGAGGGAATTTATTAATATAAAGGTGCTTGTCTATTTAAGAAATTATCATTTAATCTTCTGTATTTGTTTAGAATTGTACCACCTTGATAATGGTCCAGTTCTCCTGTTCTTTTCCATTGCATAGCACACACACACACACACACACACACACACACACACACACACACACACACACACACACACACACACACACACATTTTCTCTCTCCCCATCTCTCTTTTTCTCTCTTTCCCATCCTCTTTCTCCTTCTCACTCGCTCTCTCTCCCTCTCTCATTTCACCCCTCCCCCCCCCTCTCTCTCTCTCTCTCTCTCTCTCTCTCTCTCTCTCTCTCTCTCTCTCTCTCTGTCTCTCTCTCTCTCTCTCTCTCTGTCTCTCTCTCTCTCTCGCTC